CAGGTCTGCCTACTTTGCAGGCGCGGGCGGCGGCTCTGCTCTGCCCTTACTCCAATTGAGGTGACGTGTCTACCATGCCGGCGGGCCGCTGGGCCTGTTCCGGGTGCGGGTGAAGGCTCTGCTCTGCCCCTACTCCAATTGGGGTGACGTGTGTACCACGCCGGCAGGCCACTGGGCCTCATCCACCGGTCGGTTGCAGGTCTGCCTACCTTGCAGGCGCGGGCGTCTGCTCTGCTCTGCCCCTCCTCCAATTGGTGTGACGTGTCTACCACACCCACGAACGGCTGGGCCTGTTCTTCTGGTCGGTCGCAGGTCTGCCTACCTTGTGGGCGCGGGCAGCAGCTCTGCTCTGCCCCTCCTACCATGCCCACGGACCCCTGGGCCTGTCCTGCCGGTCGGTCGCAGGTCTGCCTACCTTGCGGGCGCGGGTGGCTGCTCTGCTCTGCCCCTACTCTAATTGGGGTGATGTGACTACTGCGCTGGCGGGCCGCTGGGCCTGTTCCGGGCACAGGTGGCGGCTCTGCTCTGCCCCTCTGGCTTGATGACAAAGTGAGAGAGACTCGGGTGTTTGTGACTCACTTTCTTTACCAGGAGACCAACTGTTTCTGTCGCCGCTGGTATCGATGAAGTTCTCTCCTTCGCCGCTTTCTGATGACATCAGATCTCTGCCATGTTGGTATCCCATGCAAATGGCAGCATTTCATTCCCTTTGCCGGGTGACCAAAGCAACGGGTGAGTCCTGACTGGCCCTCACAAGCCCTGTCTCAATCCTGTTGCCACTGCCTCTGAAGGCTCGGTTGGTATTTACCTCCACAGTATTCAGCAGGACCCGGACCGAGAAGCAGTTTCCGCGGGTTCTTTAGCCCTGGGCCAGAGCAGTTCCGGTGTATGTTCTGATAGGAGCAGGCTCCAAGAAGCAGTTTCCACAGGTTCTTTAGTACTGAACCTGAGTAATTTGTCTGCGAGACGCAGGCGAATGGCAGCCTGAAATTACCTGTTCTATGGCTGAATGAGCTGTGATCAGTCGACAACAGGGATGGTAACGTCAGCTCTCCAAGATGGTGGCCGCTGGCTTCCTCTGTGGTCTGACCGGTGTGGAGAACCGAATTGGACCGCTTCCTTCCCCCGTCTCAAACCCAGAATTCAGCCCTGAGCATGGTGATTGCACAGCTGGCAGAAGCCCGAAGAATCTGCAGCGCTGTATCTTTGTGTTGCTATCTCGTCGTTTCCCAGCATGCCCCACAGACTCTAGCCGCGGGGCGATTTGCTGAATAAGCAGCGTGACCCTCCGTGCGGACAAATCTCTCGCATTTGGGCCCCCGTAGCTGATCCTCGTGCAATGGAAATCCTTCCTCTAGGTTTTGGAGCACCCCAATTTTGCTGGAAATTCCTAACAAGATAGCTTTTAGCCATTCTAACTCGTCATTCTCCCGCACAGTGACGCGGTACACGGGGCTGGTGCACTCCCTTCGCCGCCATCTTCCTCCCACCTCGAGGCTGGCTTTGAACTCTACAATGAGATCTTTAGTCTAATTAGTAGATTAATCCACTGATAAGGGTTAACTGAATGGTAACTGGAGGCAGGAAGGGTGTGGCTGAAGAAAGGTCATTTGAGGTTTGACCAACAAGAATTAGCCTAGTATGAGGAGTTATTGCTGTCCTGCCCTGCTCAGCATTCCAGCCTCCTTGGGGTATCTCTGCATTCAGATTCTTCAGGGTACACTCCCCGTGACTTCAGGAGATTGGGCCTCAGCACCATGGGTGCACCCTGCCTTCACAGGGAGGCTAGGAAGTTTTTTTCACTGTGCTAAGCTCCCCAGACACTTAGAGATGGCTGCAAACGTGGCCCAGGAACCTTGGCTACGGCTCAAGATGGTGGCAGACCTTGCTATCAAACACATAGTGTTGGTGCTGCAGGTCTGCAGGATGCTGGAATTTGGGGGTCATGGAGGCTTCCACTGAGATTTCAAAGTATGGTCTGAGAAACCAGGAAAAGTGTAGAAGGGTTGAAATTCCTGCAGGAAGGAATCCCTGAGAGGGTAATGCATGAAGGAAGCTAGAGTTCAAATGAGACCCCCAAGATTAAGAGATGACAGTAATGTGGAATATCTACAAAGGAAAGCTGCAAGAATCGAGAGGCAAGATGAGAGAGACCATGTGAACTGCAACCAGTAATGCCACAGAGATGGAGCTACACAATCTCTTTGGACAGAACATCAGGGTATCATGTGCTTCACTGGACATGTAGATACAGGACTTGTTTGCCCAGCTGGATTTCATTCTTGCTTTCCTTGGTCCCATCCATTTTGCACACCTGGAATAAATATCACTTGGTCTTGGTGTAGAATTGCTATTATGTTTTGCTAGATTTTGTTTGCTAATACTTCGTTGAGGAATTTTTTAAATCTATGTTCATACAAGATACTGATCAGCACATATTTTTTCTGTTTATGTCTTTATCTTATTTTGGCATTATAGCCCCATGGAATGATTTGGGTAATGTTCTGTATTCATTCATTTTCTGGGAGAGATTTTAAATAATTGTTATTCTTTCTTAATTTTTTGGTAGAATTCACAATAAAATTTTTTGTCTGGTGCTTTTTTCATTGGAAGACTGTTTATTATTCAACTGTTTCCATTCTAGATATAGACCTACTCAAGAAATTCTATTTCTGTTTTTGTAAATGCTATTGACTGAATTTGTATCCCTTCAAGATGTATTAGTTGGACCATAATTTCCTATGTGATGGTACTAAGAGGTGGGACTTTTGAGAGGTGGTTATATTCTGAAGATGGAGCCTCATGAATTGGTTTAAGGCTTTGATTAAAGAGGTCATGGGTGTCCTTCCCCACTTCTGCCATGTGAGAACACAGCAAGAAGAAATCCTTATATTCCAGGAAGTGGATCCTTGGGAGACATGGAAACTGCTGACATCTTGAATTAATTTTGAACCTCCTCAATCTCCAGAAGGATGAAAAGTAAGTTTCTGTGTCAATTCAAAGTAATATAAAGCCACTTGGTTCACAGTGTTCTGTTAGAGTGGCATGAATATATTAAGACCTTGAGTTCTGGTAGTTTGCATCTTGCAAGGAATATGTCCATTTTCAAATCATAAGCATACATAGTTTTTTCTAATATTCTTTTGTTAACCTTTTATGCCCATGACATCAGTGGTGATAAACATCTGTTATTTCTGATATTAGTATTTGTTTAAATCTTTTATGTCTGTTTCCTCACTTCTCCTCTTTCCTCCTTCTCTACCTCATTTTTTTCTCTTTCCTGTTTCTCTTTCTCTATTACCTTGGTTTGGGTTTTATTAATTGTATTGATCTTTTCAAAAAATTACTTTGGATTTCGTTTACTTTTTGGTGTTTATTTCTTTTATAAAACTTCATTAATTTTTTATTGTAATTTTTATTTAATTTTTCTGCTTTATTTAGGCTCTTTCTCTATTTTCCTAAGGTGGATGCTTAAATTATTGATGGTATAACTTTCTTTTTTAAATGTACGCAACCAGTGCTAAAATCTTCCTTATAAGTCTGCTTTTTCTACATCCCTTAAATTTTGTTTTACTTCCAATAATTTTGAATTTCTCTTGAGACTGGCTCATGTGCTATTTATAAGTATATTGTTCAATCTTCAATATTTTGGGAATTTTGGTATATTATTCTGTTATATGTTTCTACTTTATTCCATGTTGTCTAAGGGCATATTTTATATGATAATTATTCTTTTAATTTGTTCAGTTATGTTTTGTATCCTAATATGTGATCTATCTTGATTGGAGTTCTAAGTGCACTTAAGAATAATGTGAATTGTGCTGTTGTTGGATGAGGTGTTGTATAGATGCAAACTTAATCTAAAGTTTGTATAGAAAGGAAAAAGACCCATACTAGTCAACAGTACTGGAGAAGGAGAAAAAAAGTTGTAGGACCTGCAAATATTTTTTTTTTTTACAAGGAGAACACCAAACATACTTTATTAGCATAAAGAAGCAGCCATAACAAGGCACAGCAAGCAGAAACACACATTAGCAGTCAAAGGGTTAGTGTTGCATACAAATATAGCTTTTGTTTTTTGTAGCCTTGGAAATAGCTACAGGGATGTAAAATAACCTTCAGTAGCAGCTGGTAAGGAAACTAAGGAGCACTCTCCAGCAGCACAGAGCACATTAACAAAAAGACATGAGAATGGGATTTGGCTACTATAGCGCAAAATGACTAGGACAGAATTGAAAATTCGGTTCAATACTAAGAAGCAACCACTAGAACTTGATAATACTTCCCAAAGCGCTCACTCAAGTTGTATTACATACTATTCTAAGTGACAAAAAGGTGCTAAGTTATTTACAGATACAATGGTTGTACAGTACCTTTTAAATCTGCAATTTAGATTTCAAATTTTCCCATTAAGAATTAACTGCACTGAAATTCTATTAAATTATACTTAAGTGATTCAGCTATGAGAGTTTACAGCAAAGATAAATACTGCCATCCAAATTATTAATTATAGTTTAACAATATTCTCAACACCAGCAACCACTGTAGTTACTATTATCTGACTTGTTTGGGCATCTTCTAGTCTCATTTTCTTCATGGTTCACAAACTCATCCTGGCCATAGGAAAAGATCCAATTTTAATGGAACAATGTTTAGACTGAACACATCAACTTAAAAAACAAAATCACACGCAGGACTACAATTGCAGCAGCTATTCCAAATGCCTTCTTTGACTTAAAGCACTCATTTAAAAAATGAATAAATAAGGTCTTTAAGTAAAACTCTACTACTAACTTTATAAGTCTGAAATTTTAAAAACAACTATTTAGAAAACCTGGTTTACTTAACAGTACCTTTTGCAGAAGAGAAAAGGAGACTGACTATAAACTATGTCAACACTTAAGTGAACTGCACTATGCCCTTGTGGCCAGAAAATTGCATTTTTTCCCCTAAAACAAAGGCAGTCTTTTATTTATTTATTTTGGACTTCCAAAGCTTGACTTATAATAACTACAAACATCACTACTTTTGGAAGGTTATAAAAAATTCTTAGAAAAAATAATTTCAAACAGTCAACTTCTGAAATACTCATCTACTATTAATTTGTTCTTTAGTAAGAAATAGAATTCTTCATAGCAAATGCCCCAGAGTTGCCTCCATTAGTTACTATAGCCATTAAAAACCAAACTCAACTAAATGGGCAAATGTTTTTGTAGCCTTACTGAACACCTGCAGCTCTATCCTGTTGTTTCAATAGGCACCACATCTGTCTGAGTAACAGTAGACTGCATCTGACAGAAACTAATAACTAAGCTTACACACCATATGAAAAACCAAGCACTGACACTGTGCTTCCTATACGTGTACTGTCTGATGCACATGAAAGCAGACCTAGTTAATGCCCTTTGGGAACAGAAGAGTTTACTTCGCCTTGTCTGGTTCTCGTTCTAACCAGCAAACCCTAACTTTTTGTTAATAATGATACTCTTTTAAAATATCCTGTAACATGGATGGTAAAGGGAGACCATCAATTCCATCATATGTAGTGCACCTGCAGATCACTGCACAGCAGATACACTGCAGGCTGAAAGGAAAAGTCCTGTTCAGAGATATTGTAAGCAATGGTTCAAAAAACATGCACGAACTGGGATCTTTATAATGTTCTAGAAGTCCTGTTACAGTGGAGGAGTGAAAAACACATGGGTCATGGGCATCGAAACTGAAGCTGTGGTTCCACTGTTCAATCCGGGCATGCAGGGATCTGTTATAGCCGCGGAAGCTCACAGAGAAGAGGTAGTCCTCTTGTGCAGAGTCCCTGAGCAAAAATGTGCCTTCGGGTTTCCCTTCCAGTAGGGCTTCTGCTTCATTTCGGTCCATCACGCCCCAGTAACAAGGATTCCCGGTAATCTGAAGCAAATCCGGCACGAGGCAGTGAATGTAATCAATCTGCGTGTGAACTTTCCACGCTCCCTGTCTGCTAACATGGGCATGGCTGTCTCCAGATACCTGACGTTGGTTCTGCCTCCACGACTGCAAACACAGGGTGGTTGTGTCCTCTTCCGAGTCACAATTAGTTTGTGGAATTGCAGAACTGTCCCCACTTATTTCTGTCATTCCAGGAGCTAACTTTGGTCCCAGTTTATATAATGGATTAACCTGTGCAGTAGCTTCAAATGTATGTATTTGTGCATTGGGAGGAGGGTCCACCCCTTCTTCAATACTAAGCCGTCTTCTCTCTCTAAGTCTATCTTCTTCATCTTCTGTAGAAACCAAAGATGGATCAAATGTATCAAAAAATGTTGAATGTGGGCTCGCAGGAGCTGTATGCTGTTTAATCAAATGCCATTTTTGAGCTAGATCTGAGCCAGCAGGAAAAGGACATTTCTCAAGCATTAATTCAGAAAGATGTATTTTTCTTTTATTGGAAAAGAGGGGCTTTGATTGCTTGCTATAAGTTCTCATAGGAAAACACAAGCCCACAGTATCCTGAAGCCTCTGTCTCAGAGAGCGGCTCCCCAGGGTTCTGCTGGGAACACTGTCCATGTCGTGTGCAGAGCTCACTCCATAGCTCGGCTCTCGCCTTTGAAGTCCACTGCGAGTCCTACCGAACTTTTTATCAGTGTCCAACAAACTCTGGGTCTTTGTGGAACAGGAATGTTTTTTCTTCCCTCCCCATGGGGCATGCCGCGAGAAGGAATCTCTTCGTGCAATTCTTGCTCCGGGGGTGACACATGAATCATTATCTTTCTCAATGCTTATTTCAACAATTTGAGGAATTTCAGTGGCACAGTTTTGGTTTCTCCTTGAAGAATTCTTGGATGGGCTTAACCCCAGTTGTAAGGCAATATTTTCTCTCAAAGGACTGCTTTGTTGCTGAGGAACCTAGTCTCCCAGACTGATGTTTTTCTCTTTGACAGACAAACAAGTCTCCCAGACTGATGTTTTTCTCTTTGACAGACAAACATCTGTTGGAATTCACGTCTACGCGTTCACTAGGGCTTCCTCCCTCATGGCTGAAGAGATTCTGACACCTGTATTTGAAGTTATTCCACATTTTCCCCACTTTATCCATTGATTATAAGACCGGCCGGGATGCACGGGTGGGCCTCATCCAGGGCACCTGCGGCCAGGCAGGACCGCCCCGATGGCTCAGTCATCAAGAGGGCGAGTCTGCTCGCCCGCCGGTGCGACCCGTCCCCGCCGACTGCCCAGCCAGCGCAGCCTCGCTTCCTCCGGAGGGAGCCTGGGGACCCCAGCTCGGCCAGATGCCCCCGCCTGGCCCCCACCCCTTCCCCGGCCACCTCCCCTTCTTCCCTCTTTTCCCCTCCCCCATTCCCCCAACACCCCTAGGACCTGCAAATTGATCTCCGGAATAGATTAGAGACTTGCTCCTTTCAATGAGTATTTTCTCAACCTGCATCTTAGATCTAATTTTTATTACATTATTAACATTGTTTTGAACTGAGCAGTCAGAATTATGAATATTTATGGGGCACCATGTGATTTTTTAATATATGTATATAATGTGGAATTATTAAAAAGTCAAGCTCATTAACATATCTATCTAGTCCTTTCCTGATCTATGTTATTTTTGTGATGACACACTTTAAAATTACTTTTATTTTGAAATATATAATAAGGGTTTCATTTTATTATTTTATACCTGTTACTCAGTTTTCTCAACAGCATTTGTTAAAAAGGGTATCTTTTCTTCAACATATGTTTTTGACATCTTGTCGAGGACCAGATGATTATACATGTGTGGATTTATCTCTGCATCTTCTAAGATATTCCACTGGTGGATGTGTCTGTTTTAATGTCAGAATCTGGTAACAATTATTTTACTCTCTACTTCTATGAGTTAAACTTGAAGACCTAAATTTAAACCTAAAACTCTAAGACATTTATAAAATAACATGAGAAAGTATCTACGTAATCTTGCATTTGATGGTGTTCTTTTAATTGAATCTCAAAATCCATGAAAGAAAATACTGGTAAGTTGGGACTTTGATAAAATTAAAAACTTTTAAGAACCTGGGAGTTTAAGTTTAGGAGTTTAAGACAAGCCTGGGCAACATAGTGAGATCTGATCCCAAATAATTCATCAGTCAATCCATCAATAACTTAGGATCTGAAAAAGAAAATGTTAAGAGAATGAAGAAACAAACCACAGAATGGGAGAAGATATTTGCAAAACAAATATATTTTTATTTATTTACTTTTGTCATGTCCAGGTTTATTTCCTGTGCATTATTTGCATCTCATTGGGATTTTTGTATTTAAAACATAGACAGTGGATCCCTCAGTGCTTATCATGAAGCACTTCTTTTTGTCCTCCCAGATTTCCTGTGGTGTGTAGGCCACTGCTTTGCAGCAGGCTCCTCTGGGCAATGAACCTTTTCAAAGACAGGGAACCTTCCAAATGCAGGGGTCAGAACTGGGTCTACACTTGGTGGCTCCCATTTCATCTCTTTGGCACCAGAGCACTGCCCTCAAAGTGGGCGCTAACTCCATTTCAGGATGAGGAGAGAGAGAAATCCTAAATGAATTCACACAGACTAAACCCAGGCTTCGAGCCCAGCATGGCTGACCTCCACTTTTAACACTCCACCAACTGACCCACGCTGGGCCCAATCCTGAGAAGGATCCGCATCAGGGCTGTCCTTCCCTGCTTGGCTCCTAAGGACCAGGCTCAGTGCCTAACAAAACAGCAGCCATGCGTGGCACTGACCCATGTCCTGAGCCTTCCCAGGACACATCTCCATTTCTTACTCCTTCCTTAAGAAGCAGGGCTCTGGGACGCCCCTCCCTTGGAGGGTTTCTAGCCTCTAGGTCCCTAATCTACAATGTCAAGGACATTGGCCCCTTGGATTGGGAAGCAGTTGGGGAGGGTGACTTTGGTCAGGTGTCCCAACACCATGCCCGAGTCAGGTAGAACTGAGGTGCAGACTGCTGGCCCTGGAGGGGACAGAGTCTGTCCAGGACCAGAGTCCCAGGATGCCTCATCCCAGCATCTAATTATCAGCCACTTGGCCAGAACAAGCCACAGACCCTCCTGGACACTCATGGATTTAGGCCTGAGAGGAGTCCCCTGTCAGTGCAGCAGGAATACCCTGCCATGGCTCAGTGGCCATGTCATACTTTGGAAAATTAAAAAAAAAAAAGACAACAACCAGCAAACAGGAGGCTGAGTAACAGCTGGACTAAGTCACAGCAGGCAGAGGCATCTGGCACATGGTCAGTGGTTCGGAGTGGGAGCCAGCCTTAGGATAAGAGGATGGGGAGAGGGGACAAGGACCCACCATGCTCCCCTGGAGGCAGGAGGTCGATCCTCCAGAGAATGTGGGCTCCTCTAGCCTGGTGTTTCAGGTCTATACACCTCGGGCTGCCCAGAAGCTGACCAGAACCTGGGCTCACAGCACAGCTCAGCACTAAGCATCCCCAGGGCCTGGGCCAGCCACTCAGGCTTTCTTCGCCTCAGTCTCCTGTCTGTTGTGACAGGGGCTGCTCCTACTGTTGTGTGCTGGTTACAGGAGGCTGAGAGCCTGGGACTCCACGACCAGTACACTAGGACTGAGTACAGGCTATGCTGCTGTGTATTCTGTCACCAAGGAGAAGCCCTCGTGGCCTGGGTGGGCACTACTCAAGCAGAGACTCTGGGGGTGCTCACGGGGCCTTTCTTCCAGCCCCAGTCCTTCCCAACCAAAGCAAGGCTTTGGTGACTGCGTTATTTCCTCGATGACATTCCACACCTCCTCCTTCCTTGGGGCCCAGTGTCTCTGAGGTGTTCTGGGTCTGGTGGACTGGGCTCTGGGGGGCAGCCAAGGCAGGCAGGGTCTCCTGCTTCAGTCAGCTTCCTGCTCAGCAGCCTGGCCAGACCCCTCAATGTGTGGCTCCTGTTGCAACCTAGGTGGCCGAGGAAAGCTGGTCAGGGGTCTTGCTCCTCAAGGGGACCTCACTGATAGCCATCCCAAGCTCTGTTGGAGCCTCAGCCTCTGAGTGCAGGGTGGAGTCCCTGCCTGTTCACCCTGGGGGGAGTCTGGTAGGGTGTGCTGGAGCCCCATCACCTCCTGGCAAGAGAGCCCTGCAGATAGCAGGCCTCTGTGTGCTGAGGAAGTTCCCCTCCTGTAGAGCTCATGGCTCAGAAAATGAAGGCGCCTGAAGACACTAAACACTCTTTCGGGCCCTGAGGAACTGGGAGAGAAGGGATTTGCCTATGGCTACCCAGCTAGGCATGACAGAGGCTTGCCAACCCTGAACTACAGGGTTTCCTTAGAAAGGGGCACTCCTCTAGATGAGGACTCAGTCTGTAGAAGTGGGGTACCCCTCTGTAGGGAGGCCTACTCCCTAGAGGAGGATCACCTGATCCTTTAGAGGATTGGCACCACGTTGAGAGAAGTATCCAATTCTTGCCAGAGAATGGGAGCCCCCGTTTCCTACTAGAGGAGCACCCCTCCAGAGAGGGCCACCATTTCTAAATGAGGGGCACACCATCCCCTAGAACAGGGGCACCTTTTTGACTCCATCCTTCATATAGGAGCAGTGCCCCTATCCCCTAGAGAAGCCACATGTTGGAAAGGTGACACCATCCTTATTTTTGGGAACCCCAACCTGAAGTAAAGGGGCACTTCTCAAGAAGGTAGCCCAATCCCTAGAAGAGGGGCACCCCGTACCCTAAAGAAGGGGTACACCACAGTAGAGGAAATGTATCTCTCTATGAAGTTGGGGGTGCATGAACCATTGTTAGAGGAAGGGCACCCCATGAGAGGACCCCCCATCCCTCCAGGATTCCAGGCACAACCATATCTAGAAAAGGGGAATTCCCACAAAGCTTGACCCCATCCCTCAAGGAGGCAGGGTGCGGGCCCCCATCCCTAAGATGTGGGTCATACCAGAGAGGGACCACATGCTATAGAAGGGCTGCCCAAATCCCACAGAGCAGAACACCCCAAGAGATGCACCACATCTCTAGAGAAAGAGGGGTGCTCACATCCCCTAGAGAAGGGGCACCGCTGGCAAAAAGGAACCCATCCCTAGAGAAAAGGCTTCTTTAAAATAGGGGGACACTGACAATAGAAGAGCTGCAACCACCCACTAAAAGTGGGATAACCCCTGAGAGGGGAGCCCCATCCCTCACGGGGGGGAACCCAACCCCATCCCTCTAGAGGAGGGCCAGCTCCCCAGAGGGGGAGTCCCATCCCTCACAGGAAGAAGGGTGCCCCCATTCCCCTAAAGGAGGGGCAATCCCCTGAGGGGTGTACCTTGGGCTCAGCTGCTGACTTAGGTGTACTCTCTCCCTAAGGGCAGGCAAGTGTGGCCCATCCTCGGTGGGAAGGGGTCGCCAAAGGCACACCTACCCCTGGGCTTGGGTGGGAACGCCACCTTGTTCCTGGCTGTCATGTGTGCAGTGCCTGCCCAGGCCTGTGGCAGTAGTGTGCCCCTGTGAGCCTTGCCCAGGTCTGCATGAGCTAGTGACATGAAGTTTTAGAGGGAAGGCTCTGGGGGCTTCCACTATGACCCTGTTCTCGTCACACCATTGACAGGACTCCACAGGGAGCCTGGCCAAGAGGCTGACCTGTGTGCAGGTGCTCAGTGGGCTCAGAGGCACCATCTCTCCGCCTACCATCTTGGTCCTGGGCCCAGCCTGAGACTAGACTCCTTCACTTACTGGGAATTTCCTGCATGTCCAAGAGACTTCATATGTATTTGCACATTTAATGGCCCCCAAACCTGATGAGGAAAATTTAGAACAGTGGGAGCTGGTGCTCAGCCTCCTCAGAGGCTGCTGTAGAACTGTCCCGAGGGGGGTTCCTTGCTGCCCCTGGCCCATGGGGGCAGCTGAACTTAAGGTTGCTTGTGTGAATTTCCTGGGACACCAAATAAAACACAGACACACACTTTACCTTTAAACAAGCTTCCAGACAGCTCCTCTGTTCTTGGCCTCAAGTTCCCCAAATGTGTGAGCGAGGGACATCACAAGAGGCTGGCCAGAGAGAGAGAGTGAGCTCATTCAGAAGTGAGCTTTTATTGGGAGGACCCTCATTCTTAGAAAGTTCCAACCAAAAAACTGAAGAAGGGGGGGAGTTACAAGGGACATGTGAGTGTAATTCGACCCAAGGGCTGTAGGGAGACACCTATGTCTGAAGACATGTCCTCAAACTTCCAGGACCTGGGCCATATCCAAGTCACTAAGAGATATAGTGACCATCACAGCCTCTCTACTCTGGGATGGAAGACACGAATCATTCAGAGCGGCCCCTCACAGTTCCTAACACCCAGTGCACACTGGCTTGAGAGGCCAGGCAGCTTGGCTGCACCTGGACATGACATATTGAGCTGTCCCTTGGGCTCAGCACAAACCCATCACCCCAGCATATGGCTGAGTGTCTTTCCCTCTCCTGTTTGGCCCACAGCCCAGCAGCACTAGGGTAGTGTGACAGGTTGCCAAGAGACCCAAGGAAATATCCACAGATGGTGTGCAAGACATGGGTGTATTTTTTATTTTGGTATCAGGAATTGAACCCAGGGACATTTTATCACTGAGCCATATCCCCAGCCCTTTTTATATTTTATTTAGAGCTAGGACCTCTTAAGTTTGCTGAGGCTGTCTTTGAACTCATGATCCTTCTACCTCAGCCTCCTGAGCCTTATAGGTATGTGCCACTGTGCCCAGCGATACCAGTGTATTGAAAGCTGCTCTTGGGGAAGGTCCAGGGCAGAAGGCAGGACAGGCATCACCCACCCCTCCTGCAATTCCATCCCTTTCCACACTTTGTCCAATGGCAGGTGGCTGAACAAGAGGAACTTGTCATCTCCCTGGTGCCAACACCAGGCCAGTCACCCAGGGAGAGGGGTTTGTGGCCAGGTCACAGCAGTGACATCATTAGAGTGCTTCATCTGCTTTGATTCCTGCATGACCAGCATCCAAAGAAGTAGCTGTCCTGGTGTGTGTGTGCAAGAAAGCAGCTCCTGCTGATAACACTATTCTGCCTATTTACCATGTGTGACAGTCAGTATCCCTCAGGATGGCATTTACCTGGACATTCTGGTCTGAGCTTAATGTGGCTTGGGGAAAGACCAGGGCATTTCAGGGACATGGTTTCTCACCATTCTCCATTTCTTTAAGGACAGCACACCTCCCTCCTCTTCTCCATTGTTGGCCACATTCTTTCATCTTGATCTGGAACTGGGGAAATGGAGCCCACAGGTCTGGCAGCCAGCCCCGCCTACCCTCTGTCAACTCCACTCTCGAGCCTGGAGTCTGAGGGGCAAACTGGTACATGAAAGACAGGGGATGAGGCAGGCTGCAGGTGGATCACCCACTGTACCCTTCCTCTCAGTTGCCTCTTCAAACCCATGTCAAGAGAGGAAGTGGCCAGATGGGGTGGGGGAAGGGCTGCCTTCCCACGGTAGAGAGGAGGCTTGAGGCTATGCCTCTGGGTGAGGGTGGCAGAAGTGTCCTGGCTTTCTCGTGGTGGGCATGGGGCCTCAACTGCCTTCCATTTGGCATCTTCTGAACCCCTAGCTTCTCATGCCCACCTTTGGCCTCATTCTAGGCTGAGGACAGACTTGTGGGTGCTGAACCATGGCCACACCACCATGAACCCCTTCTGTGGCCCACTATGGCTGGTGAGGCACCAGTTAAAAACGAACCCTGAAAGTAAAGACAGAGCAGGTGGAGGCAGGTTTATATTCAAAGGAGTGGGCTGAGCAGGAGAGCTGTGGTGTTCACACAGCTTTGGGTCCATGGTGCACATGAACCTGAATCCTCTTCCCATGCTCTAGGAGGGTGATCACAGGCACTTTCTGGTCTGGAACTGGCCTTGGAAAGGTCTGTCTTATTGCTGGAGAAGGTGGCTTGCCACTGGCCATGCTGGGTGTTCCAATGGGCATGTCCAGGGTCCTCCTCTATGTTCCAATGGGCCTCTACCTGAGGTTGGGTGTGTGAGGTCCTCATAGCTGGAATGGGAAGCCAGCAGCCCAAGTGCTCATGGCACCCAGTTTACTCTGGCCCTAGCCCTGTTGCTCCTGGGAGCCTCCAAGTCTGTCCTGGGGCCTTTGCTGTGGTCCTTAGGGGTCAGTAGGCTCTCCCAGGCCTCTTTGGGGGCATGCTTTTAGACCCTGTGCCTTCTGGCTCTTGGTAACGGCAGGAGAAAGGGCCACCATCAAATGCCAGAGCCAGCCCAGGAGACCCTATGAGGTCCCTGGAAGGCCTGAGGATGGGCCTGGCCAGAGCTCGACAGGACCACCCTGAACTCGGGTTGGCCAGACCTGACTGTGAAGCTGGGCAGTCCCAGGGGCCCATCTCGCAGTTCTCCAAGCAGCTTAATAAGGCCGAGGAACAGTCACCAGGAAATGAGGGCAGAGGGGAAATGAGCACAGAGGGTACACAGGACTTGAATGACTTGTGCCGTCCAGCCCTGGACACCTCACACAGTCTTCCCTCAGGGAGTGAGGAGTGCCAGAAACAGGGTCTAGACCCCAGGCTGCCACTGTGGCCCGCACTGCTGCTTATCAACACCCTGGGCCTCCCCTTCCTCGATCATATGGTGCCACCCAATACCTGCCTCCTGGTAAACTGCCATCAGGCTTTGCTAACCCATTGACAGTCACTAAACAGGCCTGCTTTGTGACACCTAGGACAAGAACTACTGTGCTGCCTCACAGAGAGGGCCAGCATGCATGTGATGGCTGTGAAGGGTCTCCAGGGGCCATGCCCTTTCTGTGGAACCCAGGCTGGGGTCCCTTGAAGATAAAATAGGACATGAGAAGCTGGAGTAGCCCTGCTGGGGGACAGGACTTGGGCCAGATGTTTCTAGAGAGTTCCCACCAAGCCAGGAGTCCATCCCACTCTCCTCCCCCTTCAGGACCTCTCCTGTGTCCCCTGCCAGTCATGAGCCACAACACTGCAGCAGGGCAAGACTGGGCCTCTGGAAGCACCACCTGTGGGCAGCTTAAGCGTCCCCTGGTGCTCACCTCTCTTGCCCTGGTACAGATGGCCTGGAGTGTCCCAGAGTCCTGAAAATGTTCTTGATAGTGGATGTCAGCCTAGAGGAGACAGAAATCGGTGACATGTGCTGGCTGGTTCTGAGCCAAACTCTACCTGCCCCACAGCCTGGGGAGGCCCTCACACCTCCCACAGAGGCCCAGACTTCCAGATATTAGGAACAGCCACCACTGGTGTGGGGGTGACAGGGATTCCAAGAACCTCAGTGTTGAGGTCCTGACATGAAGGAAGAGGGTCCTGGGGTCTTCCCCCACATGAGCAGTTCTGCCCGGCTTTACTGGGGACTTCACTCTCTTCGGAGGACTCCCAGCAGAACTAGTCTGTCCTTCCAACTAGTGTCACCTGTGACCCCTGCCATCTCTAGAAAGTTCAGCAAGGTTACCTTTTACCAGAGTGAAAGAGGGCTTGTGGGTTGCAGGTGGAGATTGGGACAACCCAGGTGGGGAGGAATATGAAACAGGGCTCAGTCCCAAGTGGGACCCTGGCCTCAAGACGCCCCCGATCCTGGATCAGATGGGTTTAGCTGACCTCTGGGGCCTCATGACTCATGGGCAGGAGCAGCTAATCCCCAGATGGCTCCTGCTTCAGTTAGTGGGGAAGTAGGTGGGGTGGGCTGTGGCAGGCAGCAGCCCAGCGTGGCTGGAGCACTTGCACCTGGCACTGGCAGGGCAGCAGCATCTATGACCAGGGGCCCACCAGAGCAGCAGGAGGGAGACCAAACTCCAAGACCATCTCTCACACTATCTAGGAGGGCCGAGAGGCCAGTGGGCCCAGGAAGAAAATGTCGAGCCTGTAGGACCCTCACCCATTCCAGCAGGGAGGAGAGGATGGGCCCAGTATGGGTCACATTGTCCTGGGAAGGGTCTGGACCGCCATGTCCTCCACAGATGTTTATGGAGTGAGTGCTCCACACAGGCGCCTCTGCCGGAGGAAAGGACAGATGGGGTCTTTGCTCTCAGAATGTGCTGTGCAATAGAAGAGCCAAAGTGTTAATGTCACCTC